ACTTCCTTTGATTTGGTGGAGTACATGGTGTGTGGTGTAGTGATTTTTTTCATGCTGAATAAATATTGGTATTGATTTTGGTTATGGATCGTTGTATCAATGATTGTTCCTTCTCTGGTTCATAAATGCTATGTTTGGTGGTAGCACCAAAATGATATGGGTAGCACCATAAGTTACGGTATGGGTACCGTACATTGTAATCTGAAAAAAAAAGTATAGAGTACGAGTTTTGGTATAAGTTTTGGTGATGAATCATCAAATATTGCTATGCTATAGCATTTTGGTTTATCAATGCTATGCTAGGTAGTAGCACCAAAATCAATATTTTAATAATGCTATGCTTGGTGGTGGTAGCACCCGTTTAGTTATTGTTTTGCATTGAGTAGGCTTCTACGGTCTGCATGGGAAAAAGGAATAGCCCGTTTTACCTTATGGGGCTCAGCTGAAGAAGCTTCTACGGACTGCATCTGGCAAAAGTTTCGGGCTAGGGAGATCAAAGTAGCTGATTGGCAGGCGAACCGCACTCTGCTCTCCTAGATTCCCCTTCTTCCGTGAGCTTCGTGGTCTAGAGGCAAGGTGAGATCACGTGGCCCAGAAAGGCTGCTCTGTTTGGTGAACTGCTGCTGACAAGGATCCACTTACCCATACATCTGCGCCACCTGTACCACGTCATTGCTCCAGTAAGATGACATTGCGATGCCAGCGCGACGACCCGGACGCGCAAAGTGCATGTACGTCGCCCAAGTCCTGTCAGGCCTCGAGTTAGGTTCTATTCTCGTTATTAGCGCAAAATGCGTCCTCGGAAGTGTACGTTGTCTTCCCGAATCACTGAATCTCCCTGAATGTGACGATTCACTGTCCCCAGCGCACACAAAACACCCCACGTTGTGTTCTGCCTTCGTTCCCAAGTGTTATTATTAGGAACTCCCTCGCAGCGCGCAATACCCTGTTAACCGCGTCGCATTCCAAACGGCGTCTCGCTCGCCAGCACCGTCACCATCGCTACCACGGTGCAGTGCACATTGTCAAATAGGGAGCGGGAACTAGGCAGTAAACAGTATACACTCCTCATTGTGCTGATCGTATCAATTCCCTCAACCGTGTCCCCTCCATCGCCTCTCCGTCGTCATCTTACTACCACTCCGTGAGCTTTTTCAATCGCATCGCATCGCATCGTAACGAGTCGCATCGTATAGCATCGCCTGCCATGTCCGCGCGCTTGCAGGCCGCATCATCGCTCACTGCCCTGGGTGCTGCTACTGCTGCCGTCGACTCGTCGCAATCGCAGCAATTGTCGCACCACCGAATCCGGTTACGATTACGCGACTCCAGCTGGTGCCTCGGCGACAGCCAGTGGAGTCGATCCGTGCGAGGCTGTCGCGCGACAACCGTCGCACGGGGTCGCAGAGGCTGGTCGCCGTTGCGGGTCGTCGCAGGCGACGTCGGAGGGCAGTATGAGGAGAGCTTTGGCGACGTGGAGAGCGTAAGTTCGTGAACGGTTCGTAAGCGCTTGTTACTGATTGCCAACCTAACGGGACGGGAGAGAGAAGGATGGGCGTGCTAGTAGAGTGCCGGCCCGTATTGTCAGGCGGTCAGCCGGGAAGGTCGAGAATTGTTTTTGGATCATAACTGCGAGCGGGCTGAGATTGGGGCGCAATTTGTGAAAAGGATGATGGCGTGAGGATACGGAAAGACGAGGGTGGATGAGGAAGGAGGAGAGGAAGCGAAGAAACATGGTCGTTAAAGAGGACGGAAACTAGTAACGTGTGCCCCTCTGTGGCGTACTCCTACCCTGCCCTGCCCTCCTTCTCGAAGCCTTTCTTCCTCCCTCACACTCGTATGCCACTCCCTCGCTTCCCCATCGCATCCTGTCACTCTTATCTCACTCCCACTCACCCTCGCACCCTCCCTTCATTCAAGTTCCCCCGTCTCGCTTCCCGTCCCTCGTTCCCTCGTTCCGTCGTTCTCCCCGTGTCTGTCGCAGCGAATGGTAGACTTCTTCACGTTCAAGGCCGTGCGACACATCCTGCGAAAGGGAGCGACGGCGGGCGACGAGGAGGGTCGCGAGGAGGTGGAGTGGCTGCGACGCCACGTGGAGGCCAACACGCGCCGAGACTCCAAGCTCTTCCTCAAAAACCTCGTGCAGGTGCGTATGCTGCAGGTGATTATAACGGGGCTGCTTATATAGCGAAGGAGTAAATTAGCGGTGGTAGCAATCACGTACTAAGCTTCATCTCGGGTACGGCGCATGTGCCGCGCGCTTTTATCCGCAAAGTAGGATTCACGAACCAAGTTAAGGCTTTCAAGCCGGTCCGTTGGTCCTTCTTCCTTCTCTCGCGTGTCCGCTAATTGTCTTGTCGGGTAAGCCGCGTGGCTACCTAGCCAGCAGGGGGCCCTCAAGAATACTCACTTGGAAAACATTGGGGTCCGAGTCCCTCGCTTGTGAGAATTCTCAACAGTGACCAGCAGCAGCGCTGGTCACTCAGGGTAAATTGCAGCTTACTCACCAGAGCCGCTTCCCGCGGGTGTGTCTGCGCGGGAAGTGCACCTGCACTCCTCGCCGACGCTGTCCCTGCCTTTCCGCCTTTCTTCCCCCCAGACATCACGCTCCCCCCACCCCCGCCCTTTGCCCCGCGACCCGACCTCTGTGCCTCTCCCCCCTGCCCTCCATCCGTCTCCCCCTCCCCCTCCCCCTGCGTCTGCGCCTATCAGGAGCAGCGCAACATGGCGGAGAGAGTCATGGAGACGCGCCTGCAGCTCTTCAATAAATGGGCTCTGGTACCCGCCGCCCCTCCCCTCCCCTCCCCTCCCCTCCCCTCCGCCTTCCCCGCCTTCTCATACCATCCCATCCCATCCCATCACATCCCATCCCCCCACGTCTCCTCCTCTCCCCTCCTTTCCTTTCCGCTCCCTTTTGCTGTCTCGTTACCTCTCTGAAACAACTGTCATTTACGCCTCTTTCTTCTTTCTCTCTCACCAAACCCCATCCGCTGTTGTTGCTTTCGTCCCCCTTCTCTTTCTCTCCTTCTTTTCCTCTCCCTCTCTCTCTCTCCCGTTCCCCCTTTCCCACGTCTCCCTTCCCTCCTTCTGACACCTCACCACAAGCTTCAACAGCTCCTCCTTTTCCATTCCCCGTGCTTCGTCTCTCCCCAACGCCCTACACCCACCTCCTCCCCTTCCCCGTTTATAACCCCCCCTCCTCTCCGTCCCCTGTCTTCCCCCACTCCCCCTCCTTGCCCGCTCTCCTCCCTTGCACTGGCCACAGAGGTACGACCAGGAGGCGATGGAGGAGTTGAGGCAGCAGAACCTGGAGTTGCTGCCGCAGATTGTGCGTTTCCCCACCGACCCTCCCCTCCCCCTTTTGCCCGCTCTCCTCCCCTGCGCTTTCCACAGAAATACGACCAGGAGGCGATGGAGGAGGAGTTGAGGCAGCAGAACCTGGAGTTGCTGCGGGAGCGGCTGCTGCAGACTGTGCGCTTTTCCACCGATCCCACGCTTGATGATGACAGCGCTGACGCCCCGCCGCCCAGCAAGCAGGCATGAGGGGTGGGGAGGAGGAGCTTTGACAGGGGAGGGTGAGGCAGGTGGACTTGGATGGGGCTGAGGGGAGAGGGTGAGGCGGAGGAGGGTGGGGGATGAGGCTGGCAAACAGGGCGACAGTGGTGGTGGTGGTGTTGATGGTGGTTGTGGCGGTGATTTATTTCGCAGCTGCTCTGCAAAGAGTGGGTGGTGCACCACATGAGTGTACTCGTGGTTGTATCGTGCTGTTGATGATGGCTGGACCAGTATTGAGGCGTCATGTGATGAGAGCCATTGTCCCTGCTTCAGTAGGCAGGCAGGCATGCATGTCCCTGCATGCGCTGGTGACGTTGTTTCTAGAGTTGTTGCACAGCCTTTAGCACTCACTGGGGAGGAGTAACCATGTGGTGGGCTATCACCACCACTCGTGCCTTCACAGTGATTATTTGGCAGGAGGACAGGTGCGTGTGAGACAGGGAGATACATGCAGGGACCAGTTTGGAGGCTCGTGTTGATGTCCCAGGCGTTGCGTAAGGGTGAATGCCGAACCAAGTGCAGTTTCAGGAACGTTGTATTTGCGCATGCCGCATGGCATGCCTTCAATCAGTCGACATTTCATTTTGAGCAGTGCAGGTGACATCATTCATTACCCAATGCATTTGCATCTTTGCTCCCTTGTTTGTTGGTTTTTGAATGTGAACGTGTTTAAATAAATGCGTACAAAAGTTAAAGCCCGAGGACCGCATGTTTTTTTTCAAGTTCAAGATTCTTGAACTTGAACTCGCCAAAAACAGGGTTACCTTACTTTGTTTGAGACAACTCTTGCGAGTCTGGGCCAACGCCTTGCGACACTCCCTCCTGATTGGTTTTTGTGCTCAATCGCAGAACTGAACCCCTCGTCGCTCACTCTGCTACGATGTTCTCCTCTCACATAGCTTGAACACCTAGTTGTACTCATAGTCTCCCTAGCTCATTGCCGTAAGTAGGAAGCGCAAGCCAGTGCGGCAAAAGCTAGAACCCATAACGGTTTTTTTAATGGCAACTCACGTCACCACACTGTCGCGCCAATAGCTAGGCAGCTCAATCCTAGTGTCACACACGATTTTATATATATATATATATATATATATTTTGGCGTTGCACGTTACTCACACGGAACTTTCGTTCTACCGTACCAACACACAAACGAGTGCCCCACGTTTCCCGCGCTTCGTCAAAGGTGCTCCCCCTCGCCACTCGCGCCTGCTTTCGTCAATCGCGCCTGCCCGGGTTAGCGTGCTTCCCCTCGTCACCCGCTCTCTCCCCGGCATCTATCCTCTCGACCCCTCGTCGCGCGCGTTTCCTCTCGTCACGTGCATGGCCCCTCGTCGCGCGCTTTCCCCCTGTCACGCGCGTTTCCCCTCGTCACGCGCTCTCCTCCCCTCGTCCCGTGCTCAACCATTCACTCACGCTCCAGGGTACATCACCCGTTGAAACAGACGTCACGCGCAGCAACTCGTTGCCCCAGTTGCTCCTCTAAGCCCTCGCCTCCCGTTGTCGCCTCCGCCACCCCAATCGGACAGCGTTTTGAACCCCTCTCTGCTCCCCACCATCCTCCCCCCAGCTCTATCCATTCCCCCCATCCCCTTCCCTGCTTCCCCCCATCCCCTTCCCTGCTTCCACCCATCCCCTTCCCTGCTTCCCCCTATCCCCTTCCCTGCTTCCCCCCATCCCCTTCCCTGCTTCCACCCACCGCCTTCCCTGCTTCCCCCCATCCCCTTCCCTGCTTCTCCCCATCCCCTTCCCTGCTTCCCCCCATCCCCTTCCCTGCTTCCCCCCATCCCCTTCCCTGCTTCCACCCATCGCCTTCCCTGCTTCCCCCCATCCCCTTCCCTGCTTCCACCCATCCCCTTCCCTACTTCCCCCCATCCCCTTCCCTGCTTCCCCCCATCCCCTTCCCTGCTTCCCCCCATCCCCTTCCCTGCTTCCACCCATCGCCTTCCCTGCTTCCCCCCATCCCCTTCCCTGCTTCTCCACATCCCCTTCCCTGCTTCCCCCCATCCCCTTCCCTGCTTCCCCCCATCCCCTTCCCTGCATCCCCCCATCCCCTTCCCTGCTTCCCCCCATCCCCTTCCCTGCTTCCACCCATCCCCTTCCCTGCTTCCCCCCATCCCCTTCCCTGCTTCCCCCCATCCCCTTCCCTGCTTCCCCCCATCCCCTTCCCTTCTTCCCCCCATCCCCTTCCCTGCTTCCCCCCATCCCCTTCCCTGCTTCCCCCCATCCCCTTCCCTGCTTCCCCCCATCCCCTTCCCTGCTTCCCCCCATCCCCTTCCCTGCTTCCCCCCATCGCCTTCCCTGCTTCCCCCCATCCCCTTCCCTGCATCCCCCCCATCCCCTTCCCTGCTACCCCACCCTCTGCCCTGTTCCCACCTGCCCTCCCCATCCATGCCTTTCCTGTATTGCCTTTCCCTTCCCCATCCCTTCTCAACCCTTCCCTTCTCAACCCTTCCCTTCTCAACCCTTCCCTTCCTTTTCATGCCCTCCCCTTCCCCCTCACTCCTCACCACACATGCTTTCATCATGTGCGCTTCCTTGTATCCCCTTGCCGTTGTTCCCTTGCACCTCACACCACCTAACCCATGTTCCTTCACACAATTCTTTCTGCCTGCTCCTCTCCTAATTTTCAGTGGAGCAGAGGAGCAAGCTGAGGCGCAGCTAGTCGATGCTTTACACCGAACCACCACCGGTTTTTTGCCTGTTGTATGCAAGAATGATACTCTATTACTTTTGGAGATATGCATCTCAAAGGAACACTATGCAAGATGCACGATCAGAAGGGTACATAGAGGCATAGATGCACGATCAGAAGGGTACATAGAGGCATAGATGCACGATCAGAAGGGTACATAGAGGCATAGATGCACGATCAGAAGGGTACATAGAGGCATGTTCCCAATACTTTCGATTGTACCTTTCTCAAGGCCTTGAAAGCAACATGAGGGGAACTGGTTTCTCTACGAGCATGGCATGGGATGATGGACTGAGGCGAGTTGCAGTACCAGAAGAATCGTCAGTGTAGTCGCTGCAATAGCCAGGGAGAGGGAGGGAATACGAGATGGGGAGGGGGAACAAGAAAAAAGGCAAAACTGGGGAGATAGGGGAGATAGGGAAGAGGGGGTAGAGGGAAGCAGGGGTGAGATAAGAAAGAAGTACTGTAAGAAGAGGGAGGATAGGGAAGAGGGGAGATAGGAAGAGGGGGAGAGGGAAAGCTAGATATAGGAAGATAAACGAGGGGAAGAAGAGGGGGAAACGAGGGGAAACAGAGGGGGAAATCCTGGGAAGCAGAGGGGGATTCGAGGAGAAGCAGGGAGGAAAATTAGGGAAGGCAGGGGTGGATATGAGTGGAAGAAGGGGGGAAATGAGGGGAAGCAGTACGAACAGGGAAAGCAGGGAGAGAAATGAGGTGAAGCAGGGGAAATGGGTGGAAGCAAGGGGACAAATGAGGAGAAGCAGGTAGGGAAATGAGGGGCAGCAGCGGGGTAAATGAGGGGAAGGAGGGGGGGGAATGAGAGAAGCAGGAGGGGAAACGATGAGAGCAGATGGGGAAACGAAGCAGCGGGGTAAATGAGTGGAAGAAGGAAGCAAAGGGGGAAATGAGGAAATGAGGGAGAGAAATGAGGTGAAGCAGGGAGGGAAATGAGGGGAAGCAGGGATGAGGGGAAGCAGGGATGAAATGAGGAGAAGCAGGGATGAGGGGAAGCAGGGATGAGGGGAAGCAGAGATGAAATGAGGAGAAGCAGGGATGAGGGGAAGCAGAGATGAAATGAGGAGAAGCAGGGATGAGGGGAAGCAGGGATGAGGGGAAGCAGAGATGAAATGAGGAGAAGCAGGGATGAGGGGAAGCAGGGATGAAATGAGGAGAAGCAGGGATGAGGGGAAGCAGGGATGAAATGAGGAGAAGCAGGGATGAGGGGAAGCAAGGATGAGGAAAAGCAGGGATGAAACGAGGAGAAGCAGGGATGAGGGGAAGCAGGGATGAAGGGAAGCAGGGATGAGGGGAAGCAGAGATGAAATGAGGAGAAGCAGGGATGAGGGGAAGCAAGGATGAAAATCAGGAGAAGCAGGGAGGGAAGTGAGGGGAAGCAGCGGGGGAAATGAGGGGAAGCAGCGGGGGAAATGAGTTGAAGGAGGGGGGAGAATGAGGGGAAGCACGCGGGGAACCGATGAGAGAAGAGGGGGAAACGAGGGGAAGCAGCGGGGTAAATGAGGGGAAGGAGGGGAAGCAGGGTGTTAAAATTAGGGAAATCAGGGTGAGGTGAATGGAAGGGCAGGGAGGCACGGGCAAGGGATGGGCAGGTGGGAGAAGGGCAGCGGGAGTGGAGGCGCGAGGAGGGGCAGTGCGACGAGGGTGCTGGCGCGCTGATGGCAGGGGAGGCGCCGCGGCGAGGTGAGCGGAGGCGCGGTGCAGCGAGCGCAGGCGCGGCGCGGCCTGCGGAGGCGTGGCGAGACGAGCAGAGGCGCGGCGAGGTGAGCGGAGGCGCGGTGCAACGAGCGGAGGCGCGGCGCGGCCTGCAGAGGCGCGGCGAGGCGAGCGGAGGCGCGACGTGGGGAGGCTCCCGGAAACGAGGGGAGGCGTGAGGATGGGACAGGAGGCGCGGCGAGGGGAGACGCGACGACTGGAGACGAGGCACGATCTTAGGATCGTAAGCACCTTAGTCGGCAATAGTCTACTTGCTATCGCCTATCGTGTTCTCCACGATCTCCCGAATCCAATGATATGCGCAGCTCTACTTGAAGTTGTCAATACACACTTCAGCAATTTTCAGAATCTGATTGGTATGATTTCCAGAATGAGTACAAGCAGTTTTATAGTCAGGCAAGACACAAAATGCGATTCGTAACTTCAATTGTTTCCCAAGTAACCGCGTGCGCCTCGTTTCACCCCGAGTCGCACACGCAACCAAACCGAATTCGGTGAACACTCCTCAAGACCGAATCTGGAACCTTCTCGAACACGCCTCGAGCTCGAACCACAATTTCCCCTCGCCAACTTCAATCTCGATGCTTCTTCCACCTTCTCACACATTCCTTCTCGATTTCTCTCTCCCTTCTCACGCCGTAGGCCGATTTCCACCGTTTCACCTAGAATCATCCACGCGCTTCCATTTCGCCGTCATTCCGCCGTCGTAGAGACTTTCGCCATAGGTTCCGTGGTTGGGCGAACCAACCCTAACAATCTCCCCTATGGTTCGTCAACCACAAACTCCACTTGCACTCCTCCCCTGCTCCTTGTAGCCTTCACAGGGTCTAGGTCGGCTTCACGCTCCCCTGCAGCTCCTGCACCTTGAACTTCTGCTTACGTGTCTTGAAGTTGAGCGCCTTGACATCCAATCGATGAGAGATTTTCTCAAGCCTCTCACGTCTCTGTCGGAAAATATAAGTTAATATTTTCTATATGTTGTCAAACATTATATATGTTGTGTTAGTTTAGGCTACAGTGGGTTAGCCTATAGGGGGTACACAATTCTAGGGTTAGGTACTTGTACTCATTTCACTGCTAGTTCATCCATTCCTGTTCAGTGATTCCAACATGGTATCAGAGCAGGTCTTTCTTAGGACCGAAATTTTCTAAGGGCCCACCACTACGTAACTACCTACCTACCTACCTACCTGTGCCCTAGGGCGCCTCGGCGTGTCACGCCCCTAGAGGCCCCTCTTGACGGCCCCGCGCTAGCCCCGTTCAGGCCCCGTCGGCCCCACGCCCGCTCTCCCTAGCGGCCCCGTTCAGGCCCCGTCGGCCCCTTTAAGGCCCCGTTCATGCCCCGCGCTAGCCCCGTTCAGGCCCCGTCGGCCCCGTTTCAGGCCCCGTCGGCCCCGCGCTAGCCCCTCTCAGGCCCCGTCGGCCCGCGCTAGCCCCGATTCAGGCCCCGTCGGCCCCGTTTCAGGCCCCGTCGGCCCCGCGCTAGCCCCTCTCAGGCCCCGTCGGCCCGCGCTAGCCCCGTTTCAGGCCCCGTTGGCCCCGTTTCAGGCCCCGTCGGCCCGCGCTAGCCCCGTTTCAGGCCCCGTCGGCCCCGCGCTAGCCCCTCTCAGGCCCCGTCGGCCCCGCGCTAGCCCCATTCAGGCCCCGATCGGGCCCGCGCTAGCCCCGTTTCAGGCCCCGTCGGCCCCGTTTCAAGCCCCGTCGGCCCCGCGCTAGCCCCGTTCAGGCCCCGTCGGCCCCTTGCTAGCCCCGTCAAGGCCCCGTTTGGCCCCGCGCTAGCCCCGCTCAGGCCCCGATCGGCCCCGCGCTCGCCCCTCTAGGGCCCCAACCGGCCCCGTGCCGACCTCGCCGACCCGTGCCCACCACCTAGAGGCCCCGGGCGGCCCGTTCCCGCCGCAGCACACGAGGGAGAGCGAGCGGCCCGTCCCCGCCGTGACCCGAGCCGCGCGACCCGAGCTGCGCGCCCCGAGCCGAGCCGCGCGCCCCGAGCCGAGCCGCGCGCCCCGAACCGAGCCGCGCGCCCTGAACCGAGCCGCGCCACCCAGCCGAGCCGCGACCCGACCTGAACCGAGCCGCGCCGCCCTGTCCTACCTGGTTCGTCCTACCTGCTTCTCCTACTGCTACTGCTGCTATTTCTACTGTTCCTATGGCTAGCCCACAGGTTCTCGTGTTCGATGCTGAGGGCCGCCCTGTGAAGTTTGACACCTGGCTCGATGACCTGCACCTCTACCTACAGCTCACAGCCAAGGATGACATCTCACTGTACGATCACGCCCTAGGCCATGTCACTGCCCCTGCTGCTACTGCTGACAGCATTGCTCGCTCACAGTGGCTGACTCGTGATGCCCACGCTCGCTTCGCCATTCGCAACTCCCTGCCGATAGACGAACGCGAGCACTTTGGTCAGCACAAGACTGCACAAGCACTGTACACAGCTGTAGTTGCTCGCTACTCCTCACCTGCCTCTGCCGCACTAGGCCGTCTCTCCCTCCCCTACCTGTTTCCCGACCTGGCCTCCTTTCACACAGTTGCTGACCTCATCACGCACCTCCGTACTAGTGAGGCCCGCTTCCGTGCCGCCATGCCTGCTGAGTTCCTTGCCACGCACCCCCCTCCACTCTGGCTCACTCTCTACCACCTAGTCACCCGCCTCCCTGACACACTGCATGCTGTCAGGGACCACTTCCTAGCTCGTTGCCCCACTGAGCTCACCATTGCCCTCCTCGAGAAGGAGCTACTTGCAGCTGAGACTAGCATAGTCGCTGTAGGTGCCTCTCGTGGCGACCCCCGTACCCCGTTCTTTGAGGGGTGTTCTCCTTCCCCCCTTCTTCCCTCTGTCGCCTCTGCTGCTGCTGTCGACCTTCTGGGTACTGAGAAGGTCGGCGTTGCGTCTGCCTCGAGCGGACGCCGTAGCGGCAAGGGCAAAGGGGGCAAGGGTGGTGGCGGTGACGGCGGGGGAGGCGGCGGTGGGGGCGGTGGAGGCAGTGGGGGTGGTGGCTCGGCTGGAGGGGCGAGTGGTAGCGGTGGGGGTGGTGGCGGCAGCGGCGGGGGAGGTGGCAGGAGTGGAGGCGGCGGTTGGGGTGGCGGTGGACGAGGCGGCGGCAGGGGTTGGGGTGGTCGAGGAGGTGGCAGCGGTGGTGGTGGCCGTGGAGGCACTGGCGGTGGCCAGGGCCAGCAGCACACTCCCTCACCCCAGGAGGTCCGTGAGTGGTACTCTCAGCACGGGGGTGGGGGTGGTCTTAGCTGCACGTACGTCATTCGCACTGGTGACCGCACTGGTCAGCAGTGTGGACGACCGCACGCCACACAGCGCTGCTTCTCTCGTCTCGACGACGCTTGGCGTGTTCAGTTCCCTCAGGCCACTGAGCTGCCCCGCTGGCTTGATCTCCTGAAGAAGGGGATTGATATCTATGCTCTAGACTTTGATGCTATTCTATCTGCCATGTATGTGATGTCTACTAGTGGAGAGGGTGCTGAGTACTTGTGTGTGCCGCCCGACCCGGGCATTAGGGCCAGTGCGTCTGCCGCTCCAGGTACTCGCGTGTTGGCTACCCCAGGTGCTGGTGAGGCTGCTGCTCTAGGTGCTCGTGTGTCTCCCCCCCTTGGTACTGCGTCGACTGCCGCACTGCACTCCTTCACACTGGACTCAGGTGCTTCTCGCTGCTTCTTTCGTGACCGCACTGCCCTTGAGCCGCTTGCTCGGCCAGTTGCTGTCTCCCTTGCCGACCCCTCTGGGGGTCCGGTCATTGCGACCTCTTCCACTGTCCTTCCCTGCCCTGCGGTCCCGTCGGGCACACTGTCAGGTCTCCACCTCCCCTCGTTCTCTACGAACTTGGTGGCAGGATGTGCACTCCAGGACGGGGGTGTTCACCAGTTCACCCCTGCCTACGAGCGCGTGACACACTGCACGTGTGCTCGTACGGGCCGTCACTTGGCTACCTTCACTCGGCAGCCGGGGTCGGACCTGTACACACTGACTACTGAGTCCCCTCAGGTTGCTGCGGCTGCGTCCGCGTCCGCGTCAGGTCAGCTGTCCGCCCCATGCTCGTGTCGCTCTTTGGCACACGAGACTGTCCTCTGGCACCACCGCCTTGGCCACCCGTCTGTGCAGCGGCTTCGTGCCATGCACTCCCGGTACCTTGTCTCTGGCCTACCCAGGGTCCTTCCTGCCCTCCCACCCTCGCCTGCTCCTACCTGTCTCCCTTGTGTCGAAGGACGGCAGCGCGCCGCTCCTCACTCCTCCTCGTTCCCCCCGACGACTGCTCCCTTGCAGACACTCCACATGGACGTGTGGGGCCCAGCCCGCGTCCGTGGTCAGGGTCAGGAGAGGTACTTCCTGATAGTTGTTGACGACTACTCGCGCTACACCTCGGTCTTCCCCTTGCACACCAAGGGTGAGGTCCCTGATGTCTTGATCCCTTGGATCCGCAGAGCCCGTCTCCAGCTCAGCGAGCGTTTTCACTCGGACTTTCCTGTCTTGCGCTTGCACTCTGACAAAGGTGGTGAGTTCTCCTCCGACCTCTTGGCAGCCTACTGTGCTGAGTACGGCATTGAGCAGTCGTTCACGCTTCCGGCTTCTCCACAGCAGAATGGGGTTGCGGAGCACCGCATTGGCCTGGTCATGGAGGTCGCCCGTACCTCCTTGATCCATGCGGCTGCCCCCCACTTTCTATGGCCGTTTGCGGTCCGGTACGCTGCGCATCAGCTCAACCTCTGGCCCCGTGTCTCCTTGCCGGAGACCTCGCCCACGCTGCTGTGGACGGGGGAGGTTGGCGATGCGTCGCGTTTCCGGGTCTGGGGGTCTCGAGCTTTTGTCCGCGATTCGTCTGCGGACAAGCTCTCCTCCCGTGCTGTTCCCTGCGTCTTCCTCGGCTTTGTCCCGGACGCGTCTAGTTGGCAGTTTTACCACGCCACCTCGCGCCGAGTCTTGCCCTCCCAGGACGTCACTTTTGACGAGTCCGTCCCCTACTACCGCCTCTTCCCCTACCGCACTGCCCCGCTCCCCCCCCCGCCTCTCTTCCTCGCGCCAGGTGCTGCTGTTGCAGACCCCCTCCCCCCTCAGGGTGCCGCTCCCTCAGGTGTGTCTCAGGTAGACCCGGTTGAGCCTGTTGAGGTAGCTGTCGACTCTCGTCCTGCTGGGGGTGCTGAGCCTGGGGGTGCTGAGCCTGGGGGTGTGGAGCCTGGGGGTGTGGAGCCTGGGGGTGTGGAGCCTGGGGGTGTGGAGCCTGGGGGTGTGGAGCTTGAGGGTGCTGAGCTTGGGGGTGTGGAGCCTCGTGGTGCTGAGCTGCGGAGTCCGGAGTCTGGGGGTTCTGAGTCTGGAGGTACTAGGCCTGGGAGTCCTGCACCTGGAGGAGCCCTCTCCTCGGAGCAGCTGCGTGCGTGGTACTTAGAGTACTGCAGCCTCCGGAGAGGTGCCGCTCGAGCCGGACGTACTACTGGGACTCGTGCTAGTGCTTCTTGTCCCGTTCGAGAGCTCCCCTCCCGCGAGCGGATCCGTGAGTGGTACGAGCGGCGCTGCACTCTTCGGAGTGGCGTGCCTCGTGTTACGGACCCCGCTGCTGTTGGAGCTGCTGCTGGTGCTGAGGACCCGGGCGTTGGAGCTGCTG